CCTCGCCAGTACAATCCCAGGAGGAAGGAGCCCCTCTCCTGCAGTGGCATTGAGGGATGTCCTCTGTGTATATCTCTCTATCCCTCCATCTCTCTGTGGATGGAGCTATCTGTACTGCATGCATCAGTGACACTTTATTTTTTGTTTCTTCCCCCTTTGGGAATGTTTCACGCCAGCTGTCAGAACAGTTTTTGTCAGTGTGTGCAGATAAAGTGGCTTTTATTAGAAGAGAAAGACAGTAAGGCCATGTTGTCCGGAGTATTTTGAAGGGATTAATAAAATAATACTGCACTTGTCTATATAACACATATATAATTAGGATAAAAGACAATTATTGTTGTCTTTTATCTGAATAAAACAAGCTTCAATTTGGTAAATCTCCAAAATGTCAGCAGTGGACGAATATTAAGAGGGTCATTAAAAGTATTTGCAGAGTGGATGGAACGGAGCAGTAGCCAAACTGCTTGATTGGTATTTGTTAAACATTGATTAATTGACAGACGTGTTTAGAATTGCTAATGATAGTGCAGCAAAAAGCAAACTCCCATCCTAAAGCCTTCTCATTTTACAGCCCTTTCCTTAGCACTCTCCAAAAGTAAAAAGCCTCCAGAATAATTGTTGGAAGCGTCACTTCGTGCTCGTAATTTTAGAAACAACTCCCCCATCCCCCGTGACTGCGCACGGCACGTCCACAAATGGCAGTACCCTATCCTCCCCCTCCCCTTCAAGAAAAACAGGGTCCCTATTTTCTGTGACTGCAGGCTGGCTTTAGGTCATTGTGTCCACTAATATATCAAAGCACAGCTGTCCTAAGGCTCTGTGATGACCAATCACCCCTTCCATCTGTCTCACTCACCCAATCTCTGCTCTATCTCCTCCTCCTCTGCTCTATCTTAGTCTTGCAATCTCCTTCTTTCCCTTATTCTCTGTTTTTCCACCTCCCTTATTCCCTCCTTTCACAAGTGAGCATGTTTCATTCCCTCCTTTCTGTCCAAATCCCCTGGCCCCTCTGTGCTCCCAGCTTAAACTCTCAGCACATGGACAGCTCTGGGATTTGTTGTATTCTGTTAGTACACTCACAAACACAGGCGAACGTCCAAAATGAAGAAAACAATACGGAGCGTCCAGATCCTCCCACGCCAGGCACTAAACACCATCATGCCCTGATCATATACCACCCTCATATACACATATATATATATGGCTTTGTGTTGGTTTAAGAGGTGGGACTTGCAACTGTGCAATTTCATATCATGTTGGCCTAAAAAGCTTTAAGACAAAACTTAATGAAGTTAAATAATTATTCTTGCAATGTTTGATAATTGTTCTCTGTAAAGCAAAAGAGAAGATTCAGAAGATGTTTAAGTAAAGATTGATCAATAATTAAAAAAGGGTTATTAAAGTTATTAAAAAACATTTTATTATATTTATACAAATAATATCCTAAACTAACCTAACTGCTTAATGTTTTTATTTTCTCTGCGCTAGTACACCTGCAGATGCTTAAACACTGAAGTCGGAAAATCTGGAAATATCCCATCCCTGCAAATAAAGGGAGTTAAATAGCCACCCAGTATATGTTATGATCATTGCATTACAAGCACATAATGGCATAACGATGAAAGTATTTCTAAAGCGTGGTCATTTACTAATTAGCTGTGCTGGTGTGAAATAAGTTGTGTGTGATTGTCGAGCTCTGAATTGCGCTGCCTCAGGAATCCAGTGAAGTGTGGCCATCCAAGTGAGCCTCGACGCCTTGCACCTTAATTGGGCCCTTAACGAGAGCGTTGGTCTCCTTAATGAGCTGATGATCCCTCAGAGAGACAGAGCACGGGGCCAGTGGACTCACAGGGCCCTGGGTCCCTAACCTTCTTTTCTTGTGGACACACGCACGCACTCACACGCACTCACACACACACACACACACACACACACACACACACACACACACACACACACACACACACACACACACACACACACACTACGTCTCGTGTCGACGACGACGCGCGTACGTACGCGCACCACCACACACACACACACACACACACACACGACACACACACACACGACACACACACACACACACACACACACACACACACACACACACACACACACACACACACACACACACACACACACACACACACACACACACACACACACACACACACACACACACATACTGTGGGCTAATTAAAGCCCATTCACACCCCACACTAATGATCCCAGCTATTATTCACACACACTTGAGCAGGCTGTGTGTTTACCAAAGGGCGTCACAGGCCCCTCCACTGCCGCACTTGTACCACTCTGCCTACAAAGAGCTAGGCGCCGGCGCGGCCCTCCAACCTGCTCCTCAGGGGCCGGGATGAGATCTACTCTTTTTTTTTTCTATACAAACTACTCCATGACTTAGGCAGGCCATTCACAAAGACACTTGCACAAAACATAAAAACAGAGCCAGGGAGAGAAAGAAGAGAGGTCATTCAGAGGAGAGCTATAAAAACTGCCAGATCTGGACTCATGTGTGTAGTTGCTCTGTGTGTGTGTGTGTGTGTGTGTGTGTGTGTGTGTGTGTGTGTGTGTGTGTGTGTGTGTGTGTTGCCTCTGTGTGTGTTGCCTCTCTGTGTGTGTGTTGCCTCTGTGTGTGTGTTACCTCTTTGTGTGTGTTGTCTCTGTGTGTGTTGCCTCTGTGTGTGTTGCGTGTGTGTGTGTGTGTTGTCTGTGTGTGTGTGTGTGTGTGTGTGTGTGTGTGTGTGTGTGTGTGTGTGTGTGTGTGTGTGTGTGCTACTTTAAAATAAAAGGTATCGCTACACCAGCAGGGGCCCCAGCAACAAGAGTTAGGGCACTCCTGGGTTGGCGGCCTGGGACTGATTTAAGAGTGTGTTTGAAGTGCAGATTACAGATTCTTTGCACCAAATCCCTCCAGGAGTATCCATGGCCCCTGGAATCTCTCTCAGGTTTCTCCTCATGTCTTGCCGTGGCTTCTCGCCCCAGCTTGAAGTCCAAGGGACTGGCCGGAGACAAGGGCCAGGACCGGACACGCCGGGGGAAAATGAGACACCCACACACTGGCTAAACCTTTGGACTGGATTTGTAAGAGCAGGCTTGATAACAAAGACTTAAGTGTGTTTGTGGGTGTACCTGTCCTGAGAGTATGCCTACAGCAGGAGTCAGAGGTAGTATTGGGAAGCAGGAATGCTCCACATTCCCACAAAGGGGATTCCAACATGAAGGTGAGAGTCTTCGCATGTCCTGCACATGTGCAAAGTGCCTCATTGTCGGATTCATGACTACAGTCTTCAAGTAAAAGACAGTGAGCTGCAGTGTCACCAGCAAGCAAAGGGGTGTGTTTGTGTGTCACTGATCTGAGAGTAAACAACATGACTACCTAACACTGCTGTGTGCACACACACACACACACACACACACACACACACACACACACACACACACACACACACACACACACACACACACACACACACACACACACACACACACACACACGTGTAAGCTGTTCTGAAACGATGTCCGGATTGCAGAAGCTCAGCAGAACAGAGCCACTCTGTACATGAAGGACCATGAAACTTTTGGACAGAGCAGATGAAAACCAGCATTGTGCATCCCGACAGTAAAAGTAACTCACACAAAAAGGCAAGAACGTAGGGAACTGGAAGATGCCCATGAAGGACCAGCAGTGTGCCGGCTCTGAAGGCATGCTAACTATTCTACCAGCAGTTTGTGACATTCTTGGACGTGCTTTCTACTTTAGCAGCAGGGAGAGTGTGTTCGTGTGGACTAGCAGGGTGCAGGGAGCTGATGGAACAACAGCTGAAGCAGACCTGGATGGGAAGCACTGTTGCATGTTCTTGCAAGTGAATGGTCCATCAGTTTTATTTATACAAGTCATGCCAATGTGTCAATGTCAATTGAGTTTAAAGCTTCACATATTTCAAAGGGAAAAAATGAAATGTTCTAGGAGAAGAGGCATTAATTTAACATCATCAAGAGCCACTTGTGTCACTTTCATAACAACACATAAGGTTAACTACTTATTTGGCAGGCGACAATTTGAAAGTCCACTTATGAGCGGTTGAATATAAACATTTACAAAAAGCAAACAAATTGTCATGGTGACTATTAAACATCGGCCTCTGATGCTTTTATCAAGTGGTCTTGTCGAGTATTTTTTCTCACACCCACACACTTGCAATACAGAGATTGTGTAATCCATTTTTGGAATGTTTGAAAAATAAAGTTTTTCCCATTATTTATGAAGTATCATTTTTTAATCAACCTGTACATTTTCTACCTCTTTTGTTGTAACTGTCAGGCTGATAATGCTGTTAATGCTCCTTTGAGGCGTGTCAAAGAGCTGGGAAGAAGGGGCTCTTGATGCCGAGGCCACGGAGGCAGCCCCATGCTGGCTGGGAAACAATGCTGTTTTGGAGAGCCAGAGCACTGGACTCAAATGAAACCTGGTGGGTGGGTGGGTGGGTGCAAAGGGGGGGAGCCCAAAACTGGACACGTCAGTTATTAGGTCAGCATTCAAGGGGGAAAAGAGAGAGCAGGGAAGAAGGGGGAAGGCAGGGGGCAGCTTGTGTAGTCCTTAGCTGTATTGGTAAAATGACACTGGCAGAACCGAGGGGTTTCTGCTGCTTTAACCATCAGCCCTACAACCTCCCTCTGTTTCTCTTCCTTCCACCGTTGGTGTCTTCCGCCTTGTGATGAAACATTCAGGCAGGGTCGATGCCCGGGGTTTAGCATTTCCACAACGCACGTCAAGGAAAAAGTCAGGTTTCTGCTGTGAGGCTTGCACATTTTAACAGCTACCTGTGCATTTTCCCTTCTGTTTGCAAAACTACAGAACACAGTGTCCTGTCCCGCTTACTTTGGCAGCGGGGGCTCATTGATTCAGGCAAAGTCCAACTTAGTCAACTGGGGCTGTGACATGCAGAGAAGAAGAGAGGTATAAAAGGTAGTGTACTCACTATAGGGGACAATAGGACTCAGCATTCTGTGGAGCTGGTCTCAGTTAGGAGGAATGCTGTTTTGTGAATGCCAGCTAAGGTTAGCGTCCGTCCGGCTGTAGTCCATCACTAGCATGAGCTCGCACTGACAACACAACAGCCCTGAGAAAGAGGGGGGGAGAGAGAGAGAGAGAGAGAGAGCGAGAAAGCGAGAGAGAGAGAGAGAGAGAGAGAGAGAGGGAGTTATAGGCTGCTGCACAATGTCTGGACAAACACTCACATGTCAACCAAGCCTTTCACACAAGCTCACACAGCAACACACACCTAAACACACACACAAACACACAGAGCAGAAGTCACCCAGAGAATGATAGAATTACTGACCAACCTGAGAACCCTATCAGTGTAACACAAACACTGTTCTCTCTCTCTCTCTCACTCACACACACACACACACACACACACACACACACACACACACACACACACACACACACACACACACACACACACACACACACACACACACACACACACACACACACACACACACACACACTGCCAAATTGACACACACAAGGGTATTCATTATAGGCAGGCATTAATCTGATTGTGAAGCTGCGTTCAGCCTCTAAAGAGGGCTTTCTAAATCTGCCTCACAAAAAGACTCATGCATACCATTGCTCTGTGCACTGGGGCAATAAAACTGCATTCATAGGACACCAAACACGTTTGGAGCTGCATAAGCAAAATGATAAGGAAAGGTATTTTAAAAGAAATGTATAAACCTCTATTTGAGTTGTACTTGGAAATGATGTTGATTAAAAACAACTTTAATCAACTAACATTGTTTGTCTAATTGCGAAGATCCATCAAAAAATAAAGTACTATCCATCTCTATTTGGGTTTGGGTATTACATTTCATATTGTAATCGTGCACAGATTGCAAAAATGCATAGTTTAATCCCCCTGTTTCATCGTTTTATTCTGATATGAGGCCACTTTCTGAGAAAACTCATGAGATATTATATTATATATATTAATATATTATTATATATTATAACAACTTTGAAAATGTTTTTTTTTTCACAACAACAATATTTGGGCCCTTTCTCATATAAGTGGAAACCAAAGGATATTTTTACGCGCATTACTGCTACGTTGCTTAATCAAATATAGTGTAAAAACAATAGAGGATTGAGAAATTGTCTTCCAGTTTTGTTTTTATCTGAAAATGTTTTTATCCCACAATTATATTTAAATATTTTCATAAATATGCAGTCAATGTATAACACATATAAAATGTCTATGAAAATGTATTTATGGAAATGGTATGATACAAACAAAATTCTATAAAATAACTTTAATTTATTCAACATTAGTGACATTATTAGGACATTTAATGTTTAACACATTATTACATTTGTCACAGAGACTCTATCTTTCTTATTATAAAAACGAACAAGTAATGACACATTTATATTCACTCGTTTACCATTTCACATGGAAGAGAAATTACGCAAAGACCACACGGCTGTCCCTGGACACTAGGCTTCACGTTCAACGCTGCCACTGACCAAGACTCCTCCTGCTCTAACTGACAGCCAACTTTTAACACTTTGCCCAGAATAACTAACTGCGCTCCGGCAGCAAACCATAGCTTCCACTTAAAAAACAAACACAGCTCTGTCCTCGCACAGCTCGGGGAGCGGCTGAGAGGAGAAGACATCGTTGTGAAGTTTAGTTTGCTTCATGGTCAGTGGCCAAAGAAGAGAGCTGCTCCAACACGCTGAGCTCCAGTCAGTGGAGCCAAGTGAAACAGCAGGAGAGCAAATGACAGCAGATCAACACAGAGACGCTGAGAAGACAGGCAGCCTTACCTATTCATGCCTGCATGTCCTCCATCAGATCTGAGAGCGCTACTATAATCCCTGGTGCAGACCGGAGTCGTGTATGCACCGCTATGCCTTTTCCACATATGGGACACAACTCTGCTCTCACTCCCTCCCTCACTCACTCTACCACTCACTCTACCTCTCTCTCTCTCTCTCTCTCTCTCTCTCTCTCTCTCTCTCTCCAGTGACAACAGAGCGTGCACTCAGCTCCCCTCCCCCATGGATATCCCATCCCCCTCTCCCTCCCTTCCTTCTCTCTCTTTATGCTAAAAGTATTTAAGTAGGGAGAGAGAGAGAGAAGGAAGGGAGGAAAGAGAGGGCGGGGGGACTGACCAATGGTGCTCTGGAGGAGAGAGAGGGCGACCACACTGAAGCTTGGATACAGAGGACAGTGGAGAGAGGGAGAGCGTGGGGGGGAGAGAGAGAAAGAGTTTTGGTTGGAGGGAAATTACCAGGGTAAATGTGGTTTGCCCCAGGAGGATTAAGAAGGAGCTGGAGGAACAGTGGTGAGATTGTGGTGAAAACACAACAAGCAGCAATCTCCTGTTCCTTCTCTGCGCAGCTTAAATGGTTCAAGTTACTAAAACAATGTGATCATTGACTTATTTCTTATTAAAAACGACTACACAACCAAACTAATTACTAAAAGGGAGAAAAAATGTCACCTTACTTGATACATCACTTTTTTTGTAGATAATCGCTCAACAACTCCCCAGCTGCCACACCCACACACCACATCTTCTCAATGTAACGCATTTTCAAATAGAAAACAAGACAATGTGGTTTAGCAAGCAGCCAGCCTACGGTTTGAGGCATACTGATTAACTCCTGGTGACTACTCTTTAGTCACTAGCACTACAGCAGTCCTGTCCTCACGGGGCCCTAATTGGAGGACGGCTATACAACATATCAGGCTTCAAGGTGGTCTTCTCCCAGAACCCTGACATTTGAGTCCCTCAGCGAATCATAAAATTCATACCAAGAAGGATGTTCTATGTAGACTGTGACGTCAGCCATAGGTTTCTGAGGAGCCGTTGTAAACCTCAAAATGCGTGCCTACGGTGGCCGTCATCTTGGCAGTGATGCTGCCGACTAACTAATATAAAAAAACGGGCATAATGGGTAGAATTGAGGAGCCCAGGTGACTGAGCAGGGCAATCAGCTAACAACCTGAGATGGCACCCATTCATAAGCCTTAATACAACAAACATATTAATAATATAAACATTAATCTCATGTTTTTTTATGAGTAAAGAAACTAGCTACTGTATAGAGACCAACACCTTTTTGTACCAGGGTGTACATTTGAGTATTTCTGCTGTAAAGTTGGCCATTTTAACATGTGGGTCTTGTGGCAGCACTAAGAGCACAGCTGAGTGTGGAAATCATTTCGCATTTTTTATTTTCAATGTTTTGCCCCGACTTTCATGAAAGAGACCCGTCTTGGTTCTGGTCATTTGTTTACCTACTTATTAAAAGGTTGCCTGCGATGTGATGAGTTTCAAAAAAAAAAAAATCACAATGAAACCGTCCCAAGACATGGCGGTTAGGGCTAGTCCTTAAACTACAGCTACTGGCTTCACAGCCAACTAAGGCACAAAAACTAGTGATTGCTGTCACAATGATGAGACCAACGATAAATGAACAAATACGAAACAAAGGGTTCCAGACGTCGTATAACATTGTTTCTTATTAGTTAGTAGGTTTCAAGATTTCTCAGTAAAATCTTTTTAAGAGAACAAACTCTTAAAGCTTAGCATGCAACACTAAATGTTGGGGAAATATTCTCCTATAGGCCCATACCTTTGACCCAGTTTATCAGTTTGTACTGCCCTCAGTGAGCAAAGGCCTGCAACCTTGGGCTGCTGTGCTCTCAGTGTTATGTCTCACTATTACTGCCTGTTGGCGTCAGCTGATAGAGGTGTTATATTGCTCCTCCTGTTTTATCTTATATGCACAATGTTGATTATTCTCTCAGAACCAGCTAAATACAGGGGTCTGGGGTAGAGATCTTCAGAACTGGTTTGGCATCTACTGTGTCAACTCGTGGCACAGCACAGGTCTTGTGAATTCTCCGGCCGAAGCTCCATCAGTGTTTACCATCAAAGTTCCTGCTCTCCCCTTGTCTCTCTGAGTCTCGTCTCCATTGCTTCAGAAGTTTCCATCACACTAAACACTCAAATAAAATAGCGTTTCAAAAATGTTGCAAGTTCATGAACCAATGTTTATGTCAGAAGTGCTTCCAAACTTCATGCATGTCATGGTCATGTGCTGCTTCAGCTTCATTTAGTCACTCTTCACACCCAGCTGCTGGGCTGTTTTTAGCGCCACACTGAGGGCCATATGGCCAAGTCCTCTCCTCCTGTTACACGGTGCCGGCGCTCCAGTCAGGCTTCCATGGTGCGCTGCCGCACAAGCTACAGGACACCACACAAACACAAACCCCGTCCACCTCAAGTATTCCTATAGTGAGCACATAGAGTAAGCGGACCAGCTGAAAATAGAGAGGGACCTTGTGATCATATGTTTGGGGTCCAGAGCATCTCTTGCACCTCATCATGTGACCGTATTATTGAAAGTGTTTGCTCCTGGAGGCTAGCTGACATGAAATGAATGCCCCTCTACTGTAGCTATACTTGATCAAAGACCTTATCAAAGTCAACTTTATTGTCGATCTTCCAATCTCCCATGATGTTGTACTAACTTTTACTTTTTGGTTTATTACAACATCTGTCATTTGGCTATCATTCATATCCATAATATTAAGATTGTACAAGTAATTTGTTAACGGTAAGTAACTTGCCAAGTCTAGAGTCTGCGATTCTAGAGAAAGATTGTTGATATTGGAACTCAATACCCAATCAAAATAACCCTCATGTCAGTGGGGTTGGGCATTGAGAGCCAGATCCAAATTATCACCAGAGTGAAAAGTAAGAATACAAAGGAATCGTAATTTCAATTATTTCAGTATTCTCTTATCGGTTCCTAAACCACATCAGTTTGTTCCTAAACCACATATTTAGCTCAAACATTTGCTATACACAGAGCATATTTTTGTGGTAATATTCAATAAACAGGCATTTACTTTTCTCTGAAAACACCCCATCGGAGGTTAACGTTGATGTTTATGAGCTTGTGGGCAGCACTGTCCTGAGTGGCTAAATAACAACAATAACAGCTAATGGCCGTTTTCAATAAGCAGAATCAGAATGGTTAAAATCCAAACAATACCAAACTCCACTGGTCAACAATATTTACGAACATTAGCATGTCCCATATTTACCTTCTCTCTTTCATTCACTGCTTTTCTAATTATACATCCTCGGTCTTTACCCTGTCCTGGCTGGGATAATATTGTGTTGGCCAGTCCGAGTCGCTTTGTTTGTTTGTTTCCGTTTACAGAGCCAGGTCTCTGTATGAACACCAGATGTTTTTTCAGCCAATACACAGAATAGACAGCTATCAGACAGCTTACTCAACCTTATGTTAGTCAAACTTGACGAAACTATGAAAGAGGAAAAACACCAAAACTATACATTTACTACCCAAACTATACATTATAAACATCCATCAGTTTGCCAACCATCTTCCTGGTTCAACTTTGGCCTACCTTGACGCAGTGTTTACTCATCGCTACTGTGCAGCTTCCTGTACAATGTTTGGAAGTTAATAACCTGTGACTGTCTGACAGCTGTTTCTTTTCCTTGGCAGACTCTCATGGGTTCCTGGGTACTTGAGTGAGTAATAACATATAACTGATTGGGGAAAAGCAAAGAAATAAAATCCAGGTTGTAATAAACTGTAATTATCCTATCCAAACACATGGCCTTTGAAAGTGCAAAGACATGTGGGTTGAGCTATTTCAGTAGATGCCCCAGTGGTCAGTGACATGGCTCAAATTGGAATGTAGGGCAATAAACCCTTTGGAGGAAACGCTGCAACTCATTAGAGTAGTTACAAAACTTAACACACCTGGTGAGTCCCAGTTCAGAACCACAATTAGACTCCTTAATGTTTTCCCTAATATGGGACTCTCAATAGATTTGCTAATGGTGTCTCTGTGGGGGGTTAGGTGAGGGTACGGTTGAGTAGGGATGTTGAAAGCAGACAACTCTGGTGCTCTCTCTATCACTCTATTGCCTTATTAGTGCTGAGGCAGCAGTGTGTAGACACAGGCAGCCTGCTGAGCCCAGCACTACTGAAGCACAAAGACTTCAGGGCCCCAGGACACGAGACGGGCCAAAAACAGAGAAAAATAAGACTGAGAGTTTGAAAGAGACAGAGCATGTACGCACGCAAAGATTAGTTCCAGAGTGATCTGACAGGTGTCACTTGGAGATCCCACCCCAAACTCTCAAAAACATGTAGATATTTTATGAGAAGGGGAAAGTGGCCATAATATTTGTTCTGTTTAGCAGAAAAAGCACCCAAACATTGTGTTTCGTAAATGTTTTACATTGGAACAATATTTCACACTGCTTGTTGTTGGGAGGTCATAGATTGCACATACTTGACAGTGCTTCTAAAAGTTTCTGACATTTTGTAACCATGCTATATTAAATATGGTTGTCATGATACTCCAAATCTATGATTAAATTTGACCCTCTTTTCGAAATCACCGTTTGATTCCATTTAAAATTTGAACACAATAAGGCCATATGGTCAAATTAAAGTAATACATTCCTAGCTGGTACATTCGGCTTTAGAAGTTTAAGCACATTGTTGACAGCTCAGGCTCTTTAACTTTCAGAAGACAATGTTGGACACGGGCTACTGTCAGGCATGGGAGGTAGTGTATAGGTGCCTGGTGCCTGGAGGTTAAATGAGAGATATTAGAGGCAGTCAAAGAGCCATGGCAGGCGGAAAATGACTACTGAATGGAAAGAGGGTACAGGTCAGCACGCTATTGTTTGACCTCATACTCCGGGGCATGTCAACTCAACACCTCCATTCAGCAGGTTGTTCGCCATATGATGAACTATGTTAGCAGGTCATCTGGTTTCATCAAGACAAAATGATGAATCAGGCCTATATTTAATTAGATTAAATGAAAATATGCATGCAGCA